ATTCCAATGTCCTCCATCAGGGGGGGCAGGGTGGTGGTGTTTAAAAATGCAATGTGCCAATGGATACCTAATTTGAAGTCTCTAATATTGGTTCTGCAAATAACATGCAAACTTGTCAGACATGAAACTAAGTGCGACTCAAATTCTCCTCGGATAATTCCAGCCCTCTTGACTGGAAAACCTGGCAATGCCTTAACTATGGTCCCTTTAATATTACAGCAGCTGTCCAAACCATCATTTCACAATTCACACATGCTTTATACACAAAAGCTATTCTGTCAAATACCTGCTACATAAAATTATATTTAGCCATGCTAGGCTGTAGCCTACGTGCATAAATACAAAATCGATTGAAAAATCACACAAAAGATCTGCACAAATTAGCTTTGATTTTCATAATCGAAATTTTACAAATGTTTAATAATACTTTTGGAATTTGTATATTTCATATAAATTTGTATATTAGTAATTAAAATTTGTACATTTCAAAATAGTGGCTTGCAACGTATGTTTTGGATATAAACCTTTTACCAAAGATCTGTTAGCAAATATCGATACTTGAAGCAACAAATACAAGTTAAAATACTTGCAGGGAAATGCATGAATTTCTCAGATCGCTTCGCAAATATAAAGATTTCCAAACGAAATTTCGCAAAAAGCGCAAAATACATCCAATTCAATGGACTTCCGGTTCCAATAAATGTCAGGTTAACATTTTAACTTTGTAAAAAACCATTTATACTTACAACTTAGAAGTAATACGACAAAAATCCCGAGAAGGTAAAATAATTTGTTCATCTTGGAACGAAAAAGAGAAGGTCTTTTCCTCGCAGAAGAACCAACAATCACTCGTAGAAACTCTCGTTGAATGGTTTTGTGTTGTGAAAGCACATGGACAAAACTTGCCAACCGGTGTCGAGCACGCGACAACTGTCCGCTCGTGTCCGCTTGTGATTGGTTCATAATGACCACGTGATGGACGTGGAATGATTTGATTGGTCGATGCAAAGCGACGCGGTGAAAACTCACCACGTCGATACAGCTGTTGCTAAAACTTTGGGAGAATTTCAAAATTAATCTAGTTTGAGTATGAATTTTTTGCAAAGAAACTATAAAAAAACTTTATTCCAAACTCTTGACTATGAACAAATTATCTAAGAATACTATCTTTATTTATATAGTGCAACAAACGGTTTAAATTTAACAGATTTTAACAAAATAGGAAGTTTTGAAATAAGCAGCATGACTATTCTCTCCATTCGTGTTCCGGTACTAATGTCAGAATAGCTTCCTGTCTGTGGTTGCTGGTGACTTGGCGGCGTTTCATGGACAAAATTGAAATATTTAAACTCGAAAATGCTCGCTCGTCTTTGTAGGGATTTCGTTTATAATTTTAAAATATATTTATGACCTCGCGTACTGCAAATATTTAAAGAAAAGTCTTGCATTCGCGTCGTAGAATTTGTGAATTTTGGAAGCGAACTTGGTTTCCGGTGCAAGCTTATAGTAAACTCGTGTTGTATATAAAAGTTATTTGAAAAGATGCATTTAATTTTTGTCTTTCTTGTGATGTTATCTACTTCGCTTTGTGCCAAGGAGAAATGTGAAACGTGTAAGGATATAGTTACAAAATTTAAAGAGGTTTGTATGTTTGTATGTATGTTTTTTTGATTTGTTGATGTGAAAATTAAATTTTTGCATTGAAAGAATGAGGTGTTTTGGTTTTTCAAGGGCATGGAAAGGACATCGCGGCATAATTTTGGTGGGGGAAATACGGATTGGGAAGAAACACGATTGGGTACCTGGGCTGACAGGTAGGATTTGAAATATTTTGCAATTTTTTTAAGTCTTGATTCAGTTAGTTTAAAACAAAATTTTGAATGAACAAGTGAATGAAAAAATGGAATGTTAGTGAATGAATGAGCAAGAATGAAATTCCAATCTTGAAAAGTATAAAACGAAACATGATTCAATGATTGGTCTTGAGTCAAAACAAGATGAGAATGCATGAGTTTGATATATGATACAAGTAGTCTTTATAATAATGATTTCTTGTATACATGCAAAAATCTCACATCTTGTAACAAGTTTGTCAACAAGCCATCAACAAGTTGTCTTCGCACTGCTTGTCACAAGTTGTCAACAAGTTTGGAACATTAACCTGTTAACAATTTGTGATAAGCTTGTTGATATTATTAGGCTTGTTACAACCTTGTGTTGTCAACCTTGTAACATTCTTGTTATATCATGACTGTATCAGACTTGTTGGAACAATTTTGCTACAAGTCTGATAGTGCCATCTACACGCCTAAAAACACACAGCTTGTAACAAGTCTGCAAACAAGTTGTTACAGGTCTGTTCACAAGCTGTCAACAAGTTGTGTTCGCACTGCTTGTTCTAAGTTTGTTGTAACAAGTTTGGAACAAGTTGTTAACAACTTGTAACAAGCTTGATGGCACTATCAGCCTTGTTACAAGACTGTGCCAACAAGTTTGTTACAGCCATGATATAACAAGGGTGTTACCAGGTTGTCAACACAAGGTTGTAACAATCTTGTTACATCAAGCATGTAACAGACTTGTCAGAACAACCTTGCAACAAGTCTGATAATTTCGACTAGGTTGTTACAAGTTGTCAACAAGTTGTTCCAAACCTGTTGACAACTTATAACAAGCAGTGCGAATATATATCTTGTTGACAGCTTGTTGGCAGACTTGTTACAAGATGCGAGATTTTTACGTGTGTAGCTTGTTACAAGTTGTTAACAGCGCTTGTTTCAAACTTGTTTGAACAACTGGGAACTTGTTTCAAACTTGTTTGAACAACTGGGAACTTGTTTCAAACTTGTTTGAACAACTGGGAACAAGCAGTGCGGACACTTGTGAACAGATTTGTAACAACTTGTTTGCAGACCTGTAACAACTTGTGCATTTTTATGTGTGTAACAAGGTTGTTCCAACAAGTCCAATACAGTCATGATATTACAATATTGTTACAACCTTGTGTCATCAACCTTCAAGTTGTAACATTCTTGTTATATCATGACTGTATCAGACTTGTCAGAACAACCTTGTAACATGTCTGATAATACTTGTTTTGATATTATCAGGCTTGTAGCAAGGTGTTTCCAACAAGTCCGATACAGTCATGATATAACAATATTGTTACAACCTTGTGTCATCATCCCTCTAACATTCTTGTTATGTCATGACTGTATCAGACTTGTTAGAACAACCTTGTAACAAAGTAAATAATAATAAATAAAAGTAAAATTTTAATTAGCTAACGTATCTGATAATGCCATCAAGCTTGTTACAAGTTGTCAACAAATTTGAAATAAAATCATAATATGTCATTCCAGAAAATATCCCTTTGGATGTCCTAATTAATAATAGTTAGAACAACCTTGTAACAAGTCCACATGCAAAAATCTCACATCTTGTAAGAAGTCTGCCAACAAGCCGTCGACAAGATGTGTTTGCACTGCGTAAAATTGTCACAAGTTGTCAACAGGTTTGGAACAACTTGTTGACAACTTGTAACAACCTTGTCGAAATCATCAGACTTGTTGTAAGGTTGTTCTGACAAGTCTGTTACTTGCTTGATATAACAACTAAGATAATGTTACAATCTTGTGTTGACAACCTAATGTAACATCCTTGTTATACCATGGCTGTAACAAACTTGTTAGCACAGTCTTGTAACAAGGTTGATAATGCCATCAAGCTTGTTACAAATTGTTAACAGCTTGTTCCAAACATGTTACAACAAACTGGGAACAAGCAATGCAAACACAACTTGTCAACAGCTTGTGAACAGATTTCTAACAACTTGTTTGCAGACTTGTTACAAGCTGTGAATTTTTACGTGTGTATAATGATTTCTTGTAGCAAGGTTGTTCCAACAAGTCTGATACAGTCGTGATATAACAATATTGTTACAACCTTGTGTTGTAAACCTTGTAACATTCTTGTAATTATATCATGGCTGTATCAGACTTGTTAGAACAACCTTGTAATAAGCCCGATAATGCCATCAAGCTTGTTACAAGTTGTTAACTACTTAAATAACAAGCTTGTTGATATTATCAGACTTGTAGCAAGGTTGTTCCAACAAGTTCAATACAGTCATGATATAACAATATTGTTCCAACCTTGTGACATTCCTGTTATATCATGACTGAAACAGACTTGTCAGAACAAACTTGTAATAAGTCTGATAATGCCATCAAGCTTGTTACAAGTTGTTAACAGCTTGTAACAAGCTTGTTGATATTATCAAACTTGTTGCAAGGTTGTTCCAACAAGTCCGATACAGTCATGATATAATAATATTGTTAAAACCTTGTGTTGTCAACCTTGTAACATTCTTGTTATATCAGGACTGTATCAGACCTGTTAGAACAACCTTGTAACAAGTCTGATAATGCCATCAAGCTTGTTACAAGTTGTTAACAAATTTGAAATGAAAATAAAAATATGTCATTCCAGAAAACATCCCTTTGGATGTCCTAATTAATACAATTACTTTTACGTAAAAATTTCACAACTTGTCAACAAGATATGTTCGCAACAGGCTTGTAGCAGGCTTGCCAACAAGTCATAACAATATTGTTATTTTATCAAGTTGCTAGAAGGGTGTCACTCACAACTTGTTGACAAATTGTTGAATTACTGGATGATAACAAGTTGTTGGAACAACTTGGAGCAAGTCTGTTGAACTCAATAATCTCGTAGCGAGTTGTCACCAAGCAATGGAAACACATCCTGATGACAAGTTGTTCGATTACACACATAAAAACGCACAAGTTGTTACAAGTCTGCAAACAAGTTGTTACAAATCTGTTCATAAGCTGTCGACAAGTTGTGTTCGCACTGCTTGTTCCCAGTTGTTGTAACAAGTTTGGGACAAGTTGTTAACAACTCATAACAAGCTTGATGGCATTATCAGACTTGTAGCAAAGTTGTTCTAACAAGTCTGATGCAATCATAATATAACGAGAATGTTACAAAGTTGTTCTAACAAGTCTGATACGGTCGTGCTATAAGAAAAATGTGACAAGATTGGCGACACAAGGTTGTAACAATATTCGTTATGTCATGACTGTATTGGACTAAGTTGGAACAACCTTGCTACAAGTCTGATAATATCAACAAGATTGGTGCAAGTTGTTAACAGCTTGCTCCAAACTTGGAACAAACAATTAATAATTAATGATAATTATAATAATTTATTAATTTTTAAAGCGCTAAACACTATAAATATTCTAAAGCAGTGCGAAGACGACTTGTTGACAGACTTGCTACAAGATGTGAGATTTTTACGTGTATAGCACAACCATTGTTCACAACGGAAAAATCTCACATCCTGTATAGGAAGTCTGATAACAAGCCGTCAGCAAGTTGTGTTCGTAATGCTTGTCCCAAGTTGTCAACAATTATGGCACAACTTGTTTACAGTTGTAACAAGCTTGTTGATATTATCAGACTTGTTGCAAGGTTGTTAATAGAACAAACTTGATGTTTACAACTTGAAAGAAGCGGTGCGCATACAACTTGTTGACGGACTTGCTATACACACGTAAAAACGCACAAGTTGTAACAAACCTGCAGCAGACTTGTAGCAATGCTGTTCCAACAACTTGTCAACAGGATGTGTTCGCACTGCTTGTTCCCAGCTTGTTGACAAGTTGTCAACGGCTTGTTGAAAACTTGCTGTGAGGTTGTTGAGTTCAACAGACTTGTTACAAGTTGTTCCAACAACTTGTTATCGTCCTGCAATTGAACAATTTGTCAACAAGTTGTGAGTCACAAGCTTGTTGCAACTTGATAAAATAACAGCATTGCTACAACTTGTTGACAAGCTTGCTACAAGCCTGTTGCGAACACATCTTGTTGACAAGTTGTGAGATTTTTACTTGTGTACAAGATGTGAGATTTGCATGTATACACACGTAAAAATATCACAACTTGTCAACAAGATGTGTTCGCAACAGGCTTGTAGCAAGTTGTCAACAAGTTGTTACTTTATCAAGTTGCTACAAGGTTGTCACTCACAACTTGTTGACAAATTGCTGAATTGCAGGACGATAACAAATTGTTGGAACAACTTGTAACAAGTCTGTTGAGCTCAAAACCCTTGTAGCAAGTTGTCAACAAGCTGGGAACAAGCAGTGCGAACACATCCTGTTGACAAGTTGTTGGAACAGCATTGCTACAAGTCTGCTGCAGGTTTGTTGCAACTTGTGCGTTTTTACGTGTGGACGGTACCATGAACCGATTTTGCAAAATTGTGCTTGTCTTGTTTTGACTCATAATATCTTGAGTTTCAAGATGCTAATCCTCGGATTCAGAGGCGCCGGAATACAGCAATTTTCGTCCAAGCACAAACCGCAAACATTTTCGCGCGTTTGTTTACGTTTGAAACGGGGCGTTTACCGTTGGAAACTGAAATGTTTCACCGCTCATGTGACGTGTCACATTGAAAAGCCTTAAGCTATTTTTGGCGCAACAGTCATGTTTTGATGTGCTTCCGTGCACGTTTCAATATTTCCAAGCCCATGATAATACGTTTTAGTCACAAAAAGTATGAATATAAACAAGTTTGGTCGCTCTTACAATATCGTGAGCTTGGAAATACTGAAAAGTACACGAAAGCACATAAAAACATGAAAAATAACTGAATTAGGCTTTTCACTATAACACGTCACATGAGCAGTGAAACATTCCGTTTCCAACGGTAAACGCCACGTTTCAAACGTAAACAAACGCGCGAAAATGTTTGCGGTTTGTGCTTGGACGAAAATTGCTGTATCGATAATTGCGGGGGCAGATATTCATATATTCGTGTTCACAGACTGTAATAAAAACAATCGATTTCAAAAGAAATTAATTGAGCAGAACACGAATATATGAATATTTGCCCCCCCCCCCCTCCCCAATTATCGATATTCCGGCGCCTCTGCTCGGATTATATATGAAATGTTTACATATGCTTTCTGGAGCCCTTTACTGGTGCGCTGAGAGGTATGGGTACTTCATTGGGGTGTGGGTACTTCATTGGGAGGGTGGTAATTTCTGATCTGGAGGTGTGGATAGTTTGTGGTATGAGTGTCATAAATAATTATATATTCTCATTTTACTTTGCAACTTTGAAAGTGTTCATTAAATGGCTTTTTTCATAATTTTTGACAGCGAAACGAGGCTCATTGATATTATCGAAGGTCTATGCTCTGCTACAGAGGTATGTTCCTGATGAGTTATGATCATACCTTCTATTGAAAATTTGTAATCATTATGTGCATCCTTTTCAAATGGTTAATTCTGTATGGTTAATATAACACCAATCGATACCTTGTGTAGTGTCATTCTATGGTAGAAGAACACGAGGAAGATATAGAAAATTGGTGGTTTAAACAGTGAGTTTAACAGCAGCTGAGTTTACAAATTCATTGAAAAATAAGCTAGCAATATATATTCTACAATTACATTTAATATGTTTTTAGGAAGTCAAACGGTGTTGAATTAGAAACTTGGTTGTGCATTGATACCATACAAGGTAAATACAATTATATTGGAATGTTTATGGTGTAGTGTGTTAATAAAATTAAGTTTGCACCATTACTGTAAATAAAGAAAATACAGTACGGTAGAAAAGAAAATTAATATATTCTTCTTTCCTTTAGTTTGCTGCCCGAGTGGAAAATTTGGACGTAGTTGCGAAGGTGTGAATGATGTGATTGTATTAAATATTAAAAAATAAACTTCTTCATGATTTGTTTCGAACGCTTGCCTTTCTAATACTGTTAGACCTAGTTAAATTTACGTGTATGTATTTTTTTCGCGAATAGAATGTCCAGGAGGAGCAGAAACACCTTGTTCAAAACATGGAAAATGCAAGGTACAACACGTCAATAAGTAGTTTATTGATGTAGTTATCACTACTGTTCTAGGAAGGCAGGCAGAATAGGCAGAATAGAAGACAGTTGGTTAGAGCGCTGCACAGGAATCTCGCAGGTTCAATTCCTGTCAGGGACCTGTAGTTGCATTTTTCTCTTCTGTTCTTGGTTAGGTGTAATAATTGTATATAAATTTCCACTCGATAATTTCCATCTAAAATACCCATCAACTATTATTCATTCGAGTCAGGAGATGCCAACAAAATCTTGATATTTATTGTAGGCATGTAATACACCCTTTTGGAAAATATGTCACTTTCGCTATAGACCCATTGCACACAGCGGCGGCGGAACAGATTTCGTTCTGGGGGGGCTAAATTTTTTCGGCGACCTCCCCCTCAAACCTGAAGCTTAAAACTCCCCTAAAGCCAAACTTATCTCAATCACAAAAACGAATCTCTATAGCAAGGGCTTTCTGGGAGCGTGTATTGAAAAATAACTGAATTAACACACATTTCGTACATGTTAACAATTTGAAAGGGTAATGGCACTCGTACAGGGACGGGCGAATGTGAATGTGATGATGGCTACACGTCGAAATCATGCAATGAATGCGATGAAGGATTTTATCAAGATAAAAACAACACTTCTGAACTGAACTGCCTCGGTAAGTTGAAGTAGAAATAAACCCCAG